TTGTTGTTGTGCCTGTTGTTGCTGTTGTTGTTGTTGTGCCTGTTGCTGCTGCTGTTGATGATGTTGCTGTTGTTGCTGATGTTGTTGTTGATGTTGGTGCTGTTGCTGTTGTTGGTGATGCTGCTGCTGTTGCTGCTGCTGTTGATGTTGCTGCGGCTGTTGTTGTTGCTGCTGTTGCTGTGATTGTTGTTGTTGTTGTTGTTGCTGAGGGAAGCCAGTAGGCGATACCTGGTTGGACGAAGTTGGCGTTGTCGCATTTGATGTAACCGTTGTTACTGTTATTGGTGCTGTGGCGGTGGCAATGGTCACGGTACACGACGATATTGCACTGGGTAATATATTAGAGTTGCTGGCTGCCCTGACCTCCTCGTTTGCCTTTGGAACCTTCTGTGGTCGAGTAGGTTCCGGGGGACTCAGTTCATCGAAGAACTTGCGTCTCTTCCGGACTCTCTTCTTCTGGCAAGGCGTCTCGTCTGCAAAGGCATCCTTGTTCCCACTGAATGGACGGAGATCCAGCTTGACTTTGGGAGCAATCTTGCCCTTCTTCTTCTCCTGGGCTGGCTGAAGTCTGTCTGGGATCAAGGTATCCAAGTCCTTGTTCAGATTTTGTGTGGAGTACGGGCAGCCATATGCCGTGTGGTGGGTGGTATAGATGGGGCCTTTCACATGTCCTATGCCCTTACAGCCGGCTGTTCCACACCCCATGCCAGAATCTACGTCCTCTGCCTGTTGTTCTGGGGTTAAGGGTGGCTGCAGAGGGTGGCCCGTCTTGTTGCTCCAAGACGGTGGGTGGATGTCTGGCGAGTCATCATCAAGCCAGTAGTCGTAGGCGTCACCCCACCCATCAAAGTGGATCTTTATTTGGTATACCTGCACATCAACTATGGTGGCCACACGTATGAGACTCGGGTTCCTCTTATCAACTACCTCTAGTTTCATGTTCTTCTTGAACTCTCTTGGAGGTCTGGTCTTAAAAGCCCTGGCAGGGACAGCCATGGAATTAGTTTCCTGGATATACTCATGCCAGTTGAAGCTCTCTGGATTTGGGTAATTATTCGGAGGATGGAGAACGATGTTATTGTCAGCACACCACCCAACAGGGTGGATGTAAGGTGATGACACTTCACTCCAGAAGTCAAAGGCTTTGTCCCATCCGTCAAAATGAATGAGTACACGATTATCAAGCACATCTGCCACAGTGGCTACACAGACCCACATGTTCTTTCTGTCTTCTGCCTCGAGTTTCATGCCCACTCGGAAATTATTAGGTGGGATGACGGTGGAATTACCTTTATTGGCAAAGGCCTGTCTAGGTGCTGTCTGAGCCTTGCAGTGCTCTAGATATGCCTTCCATGAAAATCCTAGCACCCCAAGGGGTGGCTCCAGCTGTCTCCCATTCTTCTCACACCATCCAGCTGGAAAAATGTTTGGGGAATCAGCATTGACCCAGAAGTCGTACTGGTCTGAGTAGCCATCAAAGTGAAGCCTCACTCTGTACCCAATGGTCTCGGCCACTGTCATGACACAAAAGAGGGACTGGTGTTGTGGGTCAATTGCCTCCAACTTCATGCCTGCTTTGAAGAGATTCCTTCCAAAGGGAAACGGTTCTGGCCAAAGCTTCAGGGGTGCTGCTTTCGCCATGCCTTTTGCTCTCCCACAGTGCTCCAAGTATTTCACCCAGGAGAAATTGTTCTTCCCATCCTGCCATGGATGCTGAAATCGGCTCACTAGAGACTCTGTGCCCATGAGATTCCTCGCTTGTCTAGATTCGTCATCGCTGACCTGCCCCGATTCCTCGGCCTCACTGCGGTTGCCCTCCCTGCTTCCTTCGCAGCCAGCCCCCTGCTCATCCCCCTCGCCTTTCTCACACTGCCTGAGCTTCTTTCTCCTCTGTCTCTCCTTCTCCTGCTTTAGCCGTTCTTTACCCCACTCCAGTTCTCTTGCGTCGTGTTCCTAAAATAAGACAGGCACTCATTAACATAGAACAGGATTTCCATGCTACTTCAGTGCAGTAATAATGCTTTCCTTCTCACAAGAAAATATCTTTACTGTCAATACCTGCATTAAAATATTAGCAAGAACAATAAAATAATGAATCTTTTTTAGAAGAGAAAGTTCAAAAAAGAAATAGTCACTTTATAGTTTTTTACTCACTTACACAAACTGAAGTTATATTTGTATGGATGCAATTAGTGCTTATGGAAGAAATTAGTTGAGTATACTAATATTTTTTTCATATCAACAAATGTTTAAACTCTTCCAATTAAAAGAGGTAAAAATAAGCAGCAGTAGTGAAGAACAGGTCAGACAATTAGAGATCAGAAGAGAAGATCAAATAATTTACATCTCTTCTTAAATCGATTATAATATAAATGTAAATTAGCATAAATATAAATACTTACATCCCCACAAGCAACAGAGCAGAAGTTGCTGTCTCGGAAGAACTCGGAACTTAGGCCATAACAGCCACAGTTCTTGCAGCAGCAGATGTCATCAGATTCTCTGGTTGACTTATTTCCCTGCGACTCTGAATCCTGGGAGTTGTCGGAGAATATTTCTTCGTCTTTTATGAGGTCGCGGAAGTTGGGTTTGCGTGCGTGGTGTCTGGTGGTAAGTGGCTCCACCTTCTTGCAGTGGTTATTTTTGATGTCTTCCAGATCTCTGTCCTCGATGATCTCCACGGCGTCAAACTCGTTGATCTTGAACTTGAGGTCCGTTCCATCGAGCTTCCCGACCCCGTCCTCCCACTTCAGGAGCTCGATGAACTTCACTTTTTCGGGCTTGATGTCTTCCTCTGCCTCTTGCTGCCTGGGCTTCCCGGCTGGGCTGTTGTCGGCCTTGTGCTCGGTGCAGTTCTCGGCCTCTCTTGACGGGGACTTTTCCTCCTTCACTCTGTCCAGGGGCTCAACCTGCACCTCCTGGCTGGGGCTAGAACTCCTTGACGAGTTTTGTGACTTGTTCAACATTGTCCGCAGGATCTCTTTTCTCACGTCGAGCACCTGTGACTCCGAGTCAATGCTCATGGGTTCTTCCTTCACCCTGACCACTTCCTCACCCACTTCCTTGTCCTTGTCTGGTTCCACGAATTCTGCGTCTGGCTTCAGCTGCGGCTCATGCTCGTAGGTTTCAAGGTAGGGCGGGAAGTCTTCTGAGCCTCTCTGTCTGCTCTCCTCTAGCGCAACTCCGAGCTGGCTGACAGCCTTTTGCAGAATATCTTCTCTCTCTCTGTTAATGGAATGAAAGGAAAGGGTTATTGGTAACCATTATATGGAGGACATAGATTACTCAAAAAAAAAATTGTTTTTCCCTCAGGGTTATGCTTTTTTTCCCCTATGAACTCTTGAAAAAGAATGAATGATAAATTAACTAATTTTTCCAAAGCAAAAATTTTCAGGAAAATTCTTTGAAAATAACTCTTACAAGTTAAATACAATTCAAAGTTGGAGAAAACGTACTATCATACAGGAGAAAAAAATGATAATAAACAAAACAAAACAAAAATTGAGACCCACCCTTTGTTTGTGCACATCAAATCTCTCGTATCTAAAGAGGAATCGTCATCAACAGTTGAGCTTATTGGAGGTTCAGGTACTGATCTTGCCACGGTCACGGTCATTGGCAGTGACGTTGGTATGGACACTTGGTTAGAGAATGGCACTGACGCTGTCGCAGTTCCGGGGACAATCATTGGCCCAGCTCCTACGCCTCCTCCTACCCCTGGCCCCGAGCCCGGCAATGACCCCGTGACCGAAACCGTGACTGATCCTGTTCCGACGGCATGGGCAAGACCAGCCATCACCATAGGGTTGTCCTTCCTCTCATCTACTTGCTTGCCTCCTCCCTGGACCATAGGCCGAGCTTCCCGAAGAACTGCAGGTCAAAGGGATTAAAGTCTTAAAGTCAAATAATATGTAAGCAGTACACGGAATACAAAAAAGAGAAATTTTATATAAAGGCTTCTAAAGAATTTCCTGTCTGTAGTTTTCTTTTTATTTTATTTTTTTCCTTTACTACTTTCATCTTTATGCAAATCTCTTTAAATTTGTTGTAATGTAAGTTACAACTTGCACCCATCATTTTCTTATTTCTAACCTTACTAAATCAACTTACACAGAGAGCCAGAGACACAAACAGAACAACAGAAAAATACATACATATAGACAGATACACTGACAGAATGAGAGAGAGAGAGAGAGAGAGAGAGAGAGAGAGAGAGAGAGAGAGAGAGAGAGAGAGAGAGAGAGGAGAGAGAAAGAGAAAGAGAAAGAGAAAGAGAAGAGAGAGAGAGAGAGAGAGAGAGAGAGAGAGAGAGAGAGAGAGAGAAAGAGAAAGAGAAAGAGAAAGAGAAAGAGAAAGAGAAAGAGAAAGAGAAAGAGAGAGAGAGAAAGAGAGAGAGAGAGAGAGAGAGAAAAAGAGAGAGAGAAAAAGAGAGAGAGAGAGAGAAAGAGAGACAGAGAGAGAGTGAGACAGACAGACAGACAGACAGAGAGTGAGACAGACAGACAGACAGAGAGAGAGTGAGATAGACAGAGAGACAGAGAGACAGACAGACAGACTGAGCCTCACACACATGCATGCACACACACACACACACACACACACACACACACACACACACACACACACACACACACACACACACACACACACACACACACACACACACACACACACACACACAAATCTTACCATCAACTTGCTGCATGCTATCAGCTTGAATTTGTCCATTTGATATCTTGAAATTGATCATGTTGGGCTTGTTCTGGCCGAGATTAACAGAGAGCATGTTGACTGGGCTTGGACTGGGACCTGGTACTGCCCCTGGTTGCTTCGTACCCTAAAAAAAATTGTAACAAGTTTTTAAAATATGAAAAAAAATGGGTAAATTATGATATACAGCA